TGAAAAGTATTTTTTTATATCTTGGAAAAGTTGAAAATAGGCATTTTCGGTTTTTTGACCATAACTTCGTTGTTTGAAGAGCTACAAGAAACTCTAAAAGGAAAACTTAATCTACATAAAATTCTGCAATCCTTTACTCATTTAAAGGCGCGATTAGACTATAGCAAGAAAACTCGCGCGATTTACTGTCGGGCACTACTGTCGTAAGTGTAAATGGCATTGCGAGTCCATTTCACAGAACTCACCAAGTTCTCGCAAACCTCGAGTTCCGCCCAGGTTTCGTTTGTTTCGGGATTCTTCAGGAAACGTCCCAAAAAGCTCAATACAGTAAACTTATTTGTAGGTGAAAAATTACATCTGACCTTTAGATTGTTTATTAAGCGGTAGAGCAAAGCTAGAGGAGTGGATTGTGTCTGTCTGTCTGTAAACACGATAATTGCAATTGCAATTAGCAAGTGTATGTTACGAGAAATCATAGTTACACTAAGGAACTATGCATAATACTTTCTTTTTCTTTTCTTTTCTTTTTTTATGCTTTAGGATGTTATTTACTTTATAACTGCGTGTGTACTTTAAGTTTAAGTTTGAGCTTAACTGTATAATTATTTTTTATGATTTTGTCCTATTTTTGGATCTTTTTTTTCTGTTGGGACAATAAATAGGTATATAATTAGTCCTAGATTATATAGGCACAGTAATGTTAAACTGGTGGCGGTGCCAACTTTATATAATGATTCCTTATTAATAATGAGTATTGTAAGACCAAAAAAAATCTTCCCCCCTCTGCGTCTGTATCTGTCTTAAATTGAAACCGTTAATGGAAGTAAAGTATTGATAATAACTGGAGATTTAATAAAGGGAACTAAAGAAAAACACCCTACCAGTCTTTGTGTTCGTCCCGGTTTCTTGGTACCTACATTTGTCCACTAATTTCTTAAATGCATCAGTTATCTTGTCTAAACTAAATGTTAAAACAACAAAAACAATTAATTTGAATATAATTAATAAATTATGCAACTTTAACTTTTGTAATTCTTGAGGTTCTATACTTTTAAACCTACAACATAAAGTTCTGAAACACAATTTCGCTTCATCTCCAGCAGATTTTAATTATCTATCGAACGAAGTTTTTCTTTTTTTGTAGATAGAAATATGGAGCAGAAATTCCGATGGGAACTTAACACTACATAAAAGTGTAATAGAACAAAATGTCATTGATGATTCTAAACTAGGAAAATTGTTGTTCCTTTAGCGTATATGCTACTTAATCGTGCCATGAATGTAAAACGAGACCCGATTGATTTATCGCGCGTGGTAAATGTTAAAGTAAATCACCATAATTGCATAACGCGCCATTTAAATTAGCTACTACGAAATTCAAGCGTATAAATTATACATATGGTTCTTATTAATGATCCCTTACAAAACATTCGAAGTCTAAAACAGAAACACTGCAGCGGTAACAGAAAATGAACGACGCGCATCTGCATCAAGTACAGTTTTGAAGTGCATAATCGACACCATAAATCTTCCCCTAAATCCCCAAAGCCTACTTCTACTACAACTAACTACAACCTCTGAAATAACGCTGAAAGTGCATTTCCTCTTAAGGAGATAGATATCGGCTAAAGCCAGCCAGGCAGCCAACTTACATCAACACTAAATCTTTCAACCTTTACCCCGTTGGCTGTTAGCACCACCCTTTAGGATTGCGGTGAAAAAAGACGAAAAAGGTTATGAAATTAAAATTGTCTTCATTAATATTAATTACGCAAGTTTAACAAAGCTAAATACGGGCTTAAATAACATACAACCCCGCGGGGAGCATTACCCAAATTTCAAAGTTGGCAAAGTAAGAAGTTTGAAATTTCCCTAACGCGAAATTAATTCCTTAGCCGTCCAAAAATTAACAAATACATCCCTTACACGCATAAATATCGACAACTGTGTAGTAATAAACCTCGGAAGGAAATTTACAATGCAAAAGCGTCGGCGGCGACGACGGGCGTCGGCATTTCGGGTTTATTAGATCCCGCATGCATAGAGCTTGAAAGCGATGTTGGAACCGCAACGGAAATTCTCAAATGTTCATGGAACCGCCCCAAGTGTACACGTAAGGCGGTAGGCAACATGCAAGAAGAATAATCAAAATGGGGAACGATATCGATATGTTACTGAAACTTTTTAAGCGTTTTCAGCGAATTTTCGTTCGGAACCTAACGACATTGGGATGACTCGGAACTTTTACGATGCGCCGGAAATTCTAATTTGCCCAAGATGCTTTCTTTGGTCGAAAATTGGAGGAGGAGGAGGTGCAAAGTAATCATTGATTAATTACTTCTTCTGACACAATAGCGCTTAAACCCGTTCTGTTTCGTGATCGCTTTGTTAAGGTTCAGTATTATACAAGTGTATGTATCTGTATCTGACTGGTGATGATTGTATTAAGCAGTTTCACGACTGTACAGCAAAGCTCCTGTCTTATGTGATATTACTCGTCTCGTTACTCAAACCTATTGTTTATCTTGATGTTTCCCACTAATTAGAATAACTCCTGAAGTGTTTTATGATAAAATCTATGCCTATGTTGTCAATGATTGTCGTGTTAATTATATTAGTTTAAACTTCAGCGCCTAAACCAGGTTTCTCTTTTAGTATTTGTTTGAGAATAACGGTTCTGTAATTGGGGAATATTCTAATGCCAACGTAATAACAAAATAAGAAAAACCATTTTAAACCACAATGAACATTGGAATTATATTAGATTGAACAATGCACTTCAAATAATGTTGGTTCGTGAGGGGGGCGTTATTTGAAAAGCAAAACCAAAAATCTATAGTGAAAAGGTTTTTTTTTGTTTTCAGGTTACCAGTCAATTCAAATTGTGGTAGTTTACGTTTACATTGCGACACGTCAAATTTGACAACTGTTGCTATCGTTTTCATTATTTTAACCGATAAAAAGTCCTTTAGTTTCATAACTTCTTCCGTAAGTCTCAGTACGATATTCTACGCCAAAAGTTGTGGCACCCAAAAATGCCATCGGATTTACCAAGAAGAAGTAAACAACTGCAAAAGCGTTTTGATATTAATATTTTCTCCGACTACGTGTTGATCCTCTTCATACTAAAAATCAATTTAAATTCAAATATTGGCATAGCAGATCTATATATTACAGTGACTTGTAATATTTTTGAGATCATTCATTAAACCATCCTCGATTGTGACGTCAATTATTGTTTATGTTCTATCCCTATCAAGTATTTTGTTTATTTAGCTTATCAAGACCAGAACAAGGATCTCTAGTCTGCCTTGTTTCTCTCTTTTGGTATTTTCTCTTCTTAAAGTAATTAAGAACTAAGTCGCTATCCGGTTTACATACTATTACTACATTTTCCTTTTTTCTTTATTTTTGCTAAGCTGGTGTACCAGAACCCCGAGTGTGCTTATTTATTTATTTATTATCCCTCTCTTGTTCTGGGCCCTCAACAGGCTTGCGCCCAATTACAGAGTGACCCGCATAATGCTTTTTAGAGGTGCCTCTGAAGAAGGTCTTAAGTTGTTCTATACTACTCTGATATTTACCTTACGAATTAGGAAAACTGCAGGAAAACCTAATTCGGCGTAGCCGGTAGAATGCTCGAAACTGGTCTAAGGTAATTTCCATCTCTGCCGCAGATGAAAAATTCACCTCAATCCAGATTCGAACACCCTACCTCCGGATTTATAACCCAACGCTCTACCATTGTGTTACGTTTGCCCAAAGAGAAGGTTGTTATTTTATTTTTACCAGGACGAAAACAGGAAGATCGGCGAACAAGTTAGGCGAAAGTTCAACAACCAGCTGGACGATGGACGTTGATGTTTTTGGAAGAAAATATTACGTTCCTAGAATCTTGAAATTCGTGACCGGATTTTTATTGTTACACAAATTGAAATGTTTTATGGATTTTCTTTTGCTTTCGTCGTACAAATCGTACAATTTGAGATGTTTCATGTGCGTATTCTCTCTTGCATTTTGTTGCCGTAGTTGATTTAGTTCATTTATTCCTGAGAGCTATGCCAGGGTTTTTGTCCCGAAGAAGGTTTCCCTGAGATCGCCTGGTTGTGTGCGTAATATATTTTATATATTCTCCTCTTCTCTTACGCAGAAAATTAACCTGAATTTAACCTCTTCCCATATGGCAAAAAATTTACGATGCCTCCAAAATTAACAGTTTTTCAATTTTCAAAACTTACATAAAATCGATAACGCCGTGTCACATTTTTTGAACAGGCATAAGTCTTTTCACCACCAGCACGTTAGTAAGGGAAGTTAAAAAATGAACCCCCGCCACTTATTTAAGGAAATACATGTTTTAAACCACCAGGAATTATAACCTCTGGCGCTTGTATTACAAGAGACAATTTGAAATTTTGAAAAATACAAATACAATTCTAAAACCATACGTCTCTCTCATATAGTAATTAAATTTAGTACAAATTCGGTGCAAATTAAAAAAAATTAATGAAAACTAGAGCTTTCTTAACAGGTGGTCACGTTGCAGTTTCAAACATTGAGTTTTGAATTTGTATTTTGTTAAACATAGGAAAAATTACAATACACCGCTTCATAGCGAACGTGAACGGAAGTATGTCTAGAATTAAAAGCGATAACAACGTGTACATTGCTATTAATTCGCACCTTATTTCGCGAGTGGTTATTTTCGAGGGATAAAAACTACGCGAATAGACAATTCTGAACCTGAGAAACGCGAGTAAATAAAGTGATATTAAAACTCGTTGTGATAAACAAAGGAGTTTTTTTCGGATCGCTAAATGTAACCGCTGGTTAAATCCAAGTTCCTTAAAATTGAGTGACGTCATTGGCCCGCGTCTTGTGCGATAAATAAAATTTTGTATACGGTAGGGAATTTAAAGACAATTAATCCGTGCATTTTCGACAGCAAGGCTATTTTCCAACGGTCACCATTGACGAAATATTTACAAAGATAAACTTACCTTTATTATCGATGGAAAAAATGCCAATACCGTCTCCTCCTCTGATAGAATACTCGATTCGGCTATCCTCCCCTGGCGGATCGTGATCGGTCGCGTTAACTTGCATCACAACAGTTCCGACTTTCTGATTTTCCAAAACCGACGCGGATATCACAAAATCGCTAAATACGGGAGCGTACAAGTTTTCGTTCACATCGACAACGTTTATCACCACCGACGTTTCGGACGACAACGAAGGATTTCCACGATCATTTGCGAACACTATTAAACTATGCACCTGTCGCTCTTCGAAGTCCAACGATTTAGTGGTGCGGATCGTGCCCGATACAATATCAATTTTGAACGTTCCATCACTATCACTATCTTCCAAAGTGTAAACGATTTCGCCTTCGGGTCCCAGATCCGGATCGGAAGCGGTAACGACCGCAACAACGCTACCTTTCGGTATGTCCTCGCGTATCTTTACGTTATAACTGGACAAACCAAATTTCGGCGCGTTATCATTGATATCGTCTATTGATATTCTAACTAAAGCTTCGGAGTACAATGGCGGATTATCTGGACCTTTTCCGCCTCCGTCAGTTGCCCGAATTCTTAGCTCATATAAATCCTGTCGTTCTCTATCTAAATTGTTCGAAACCGTTAAGGCGCCGGTAACTTTATCGACAGAAAAATCGCGAGTTTCCGTAACTAAAGTGTAGGTTATTTTCGCGTTGTCGCCGGCATCCGCGTCCGTGGCGTTCACTTTAAAGATCACCGTTCCGTTGATCGCGTTTTCGGTAACGCGAAAGCTGGCGAGCGCCTTTTCGAATTTTGGGGCGTTATCGTTAACATCGAGGACGGTAATTGGTAATAAACGAGACGCGGATTTTTGTGGCTTTCCCAAATCGTAAACGGTTACGTTTAGGAAATACTCGGATTCCCTTTCACGGTCCAAGTACCCAATTACTTTCAATTCGCCCGTTTCCATATCGAGGCAAAAGACGGAGTGCTCGTCACCTCCGGAGATTCCGTAGATCAGTTTGCCGTTGTAGCCGAGGTCGCGATCGCGCGCCTTTAGTTTTACCAGCGTCGTTCCGAGGGCGACGGATTCGTTGACCTTAATTTCGACGGGGAAGTCGATGTATTCGGGGGCGTGAACGTTTTGGCCGTATCTTGTTGGCATCATCGCGAACTCTTCCTGAGCGTGTGGTTTGTTGTTGTTTTCGGCGGCGGCTAGAACTTCTGTCAGTCTTCGGGCCACTCCAGTTTCCTTGCACTCGAAAGCACCAGCTTCGTCCGTTAGGAGACCGGTACGTGTGCCCAAATTCTTCTTCACGTTCACCAATTTAAAGTGTACCCTCGCTACATCGGCGAAGTGGGTTCCGTCGGTCGCGGTTACGTTAATCTCCCGCTCGTTCACCTTTTGCTCGTTCAAATCGCAGCTCACGGTGAGTGTGCCAGAAGTTGCGTCAATATTAAAACACTCATCTTCGTTACCGGAAACTATCTGGTAGCTGATAATGTTTCCGGCATCAAAATCGATGGCGGACAATGTGATGATTTCGGAACCAATGGGGACGTACCTCGGTATGTAACCAGTGCAGTCCACCTTTTCGAATTGCGGCCTATTGTCGTTGACGCCTCTCACTTTGATTGTCAGCTGCATCTCCGTCTGTCTACGATACGGTAACCCCCAGTCCGACGCCCTCAGTCTCAAAATGTACTCTCGACGCATGCTCTCATAATCCAACAGCATCGTGGTCTTCACGACTCCCGAAAAATGATCGATTTCAAAAGGCACCTTAACTAAATTTGCGATCAAATACGAGATGTAAGCGTTTTCCCCCGAGTCTTTATCTTTGGCGTGCACGGTCGTCACTGGAGTACCCGCCGGCATGTTTTCGTCCACCCACACGGTCATCTCGGACTTATCAAAAATTGGGTCATTGTCATTAGTGTCCACGACGTAGATTTTCACTTTGGCCGACGATTGCTTGCGAGTCCCCGCGTTCCCCTGGTCGATTGCGGAGACGGTCAGACTATAGAAAGCCTTAGTTTCGGCGTCCAAAGGAACCGCAGTGTACAGCATCCCAGTTTCTGGATTGATGTGAAACTCGTCGGCTTCGTTTCCACCGACAATCTCCAGAAACACCTGCGCGTTCTTGCCCTCGTCTGCGTCGGTGACTTTCAGTCTTATAAGGGGGGTGTTAACGGGTGCGGTTTCGGGCACCTTCACCTCGTAGATTTCCTTGTTGAACACGGGCGCGTTGTCGTTGAGATCGGCGAGGTGGACCGGAACCGACTTATAGCTTTGGAGAGGAGGAATACCTCGGTCCACGGCGCGTAGCTGCAACGTGTAACCTTGCGGAGTTTTCTCTCGGTCCAGCAGTTTTAGTACCTCGATATTGTACTCCCCCTTTTGCTTGGTGGGCCGAATGCGAAAATGGCCATCGGGGTCCCCGCTAACAATCTCCAGCGATTTAATCTCGCCGTGTATTCCGGTGTCCTTGTCGGAAACGTTGATAATCGCGTATATGTCGGCGTTCGAGTTTTCCACGATTTTACTATGGCGACGAACGTGTATTTCGGGTTTGTGGAGATTCACCTTTTTCACACGAATGCGTACCTTCGCTTGACTTACGGAGTTCGAACTAGGACGAATCGGTCCACGATCTTGACCGAGCACGGTTAATTCGTAATACGATCCCTCGTTATACCGTAACGGGCGCGTTAGCGTGATCACTCCGGTCATTGGATGTATGGCGAACTGATCGGTATTGTCTAAAAAACTATAGTAAATTTCACCGTTACGGCCCAAGTCGGCATCCTCGGCGGTTACCTTCAGGATACTCTGGTGAATCGGCGTATCCTCGTAAACCGTCGCGTTATATTCGGTCGGGTAAAAAAGTGGTGTTAAATCGTTCGTATCTAAAACCGTGACGATTATCGACGTCTCGGTTTCGAGCGTAATCTTCTGTTTTCCGTCTCTTTTCGTGGCGGTTGCGCGTATTTCCAAAATATACTTGTCCTTTCTCTCGCGATTAAGCACATCACTATTACCTGTCCGTGTTCGTATAAATAAAAAACAAAAATCACCTACGAGTTTATCTTCAGCCTTAAAAAATTTTTCGCGCGCACTTCCTACTATCTTATATCTAACGTCCGTAAACGAATTTTGAGGAACGTATATGCCGATACGTTCTTCGCCAGGTGCCGGAATTGCGTACACTTTGGCGACGCTATTTTCTGGTATGCTAACATTGTATGACGATTTTCGGAACCTAAAGTCGATACCTGATGGCGGTTGAGATGTCGAATTTTCGAAACTTTCCTGGGCGAGCGCTAACACCAGGAGGAAGCAGGCGAGAGCGCTACGATTCATTTTTTCAGCTCATGACGCCTTCACCTGTAACAATAACAAAAGTTATATTCCAAAGCCTTACACGAGTAAAGTTCTACTTCGAGGCAGTTAGTAGAATTAAAGACCCTCTCAGGAACTGTAATACGCGAGCACCGAATACGTGCGTAAAATTAATAGTGTACTATACAAAAGGAAAAACGACCGAGTACTTGTTAAAATGGCATCCACATTCGATTTAGCGAGCATCGCCGTTATCGAACGTGACGGTTATGCAAATACAGTCACTCGTAAATAATGTGACTTGCTCCCTGATTGAACTAAAGGAAATTTGATCAAAGCTGATTAAATGTGAACACGTATAATATCGATCATACACGAGTGATTGCGTCCTACTTTTTAGGGCCGAACGAGAGCGCTTTTACGAAAAGCAAAGACACGTCCTAAGAAGCAAGTGACTCGAAACCTCAAGTTTAAGCGGGTCCACTGACATACGATCGCAAAAACTTTATGAATAAAACATTTTCAACAAGTAACAGGTTTCTCAAACCCAAAAAAACAATTGCTACTGGTTCCGCTACACACCAGACACATTCCCCTGAAAGGCTCTTTCTCTCGGCCCTTTACACTAATGGATTTGCGATATAAATAACTCGCGAGTAGAAGTGCGTAAATAACAACGTTACATCAAAAAGAGAAAGAAAAAATCAATTGATGTAGATTTGCAAGATATTCATTTTATGACTCTTACGTTCCTGGCAGCATAAAATTTATTTCTGTTGCAAATTGCTGGAAAAGTTTTCAGCTTCGTTCAGATATGTGATTGATGGCCCATTTTCAGTCCTCTCAAAATTCAAAGAAAAATTGTTTTATTTAGGGGTAGCGGTAAAAGTTGTGACAAGTATATTTAGCGCGATCTATCATTCGTAGACATAAACCAGATGCAAAGTTACTCCGCGCCATTAAAATATGAGGTGCTGAAATACAGAATTCGGAGGGGTTTACCTTCGTACAATTTGATAAAAATATGTGCTACGGAATGATTTACAGAGCATGGCATGTTTATGCTTCCATAATCCCGACTCAACGCAAAATTGAAGCTACGTATCGTTAGCTCTTGTTATACAAAGCTGAAACAATTTTATTTGTTTCCACTTTCCAACATTAACTCTGTTTCCTGCTGACAAATAATGGTGAGCTTTACAAATTAAAAGCTCCACACAATTTTGTTTCATGGAATGATCGATACAACCTCTATTCAACGTCACCTTTGAGGGTGTTCTGGATGAAACGCCACCTTCGACGAGTATTGTCCGAGTTTAAAAATAAACGCAGACATTTTGCAAAAAAGTATTAATCTTCTCCGGTCATAATTCTTATTTTTCTAAAAGGGAATTAGCAATTAAAAGCAATAATCGCAGTTAAAAATGCAATTTTGTTTCATACGTAAATAGAATAGGATCATAAATACTGCTTTACGTATGTATATCCGGAATGAGGTGATGAAAAGAACAGCAAGGAGAGTTCGTTTAAATACGTCTATTCAGTACCGAAGTTGAAATGGCAAAAAGCTTGACTTAGAGCGAGCTGGGTTTGTAAACGCTTCGTCATAGTACGGATAAGCACTTACGAGGGCGGTAGATAAAGTGGGGGTACATGTAAATATAAGTGAAAAGCATTCGAAAGGCAGCACCAGACGCCGAATCTGTGCCAGTTGTCTTGGGGATTCAAACCGTCACTTTGCAAGCGAATCGTCTCCGCGGCGATACTTTGGGATTTTAAGAACAATAAGAGCTATTATTTATCCTTCATCCCTTACCCTTGAGGCCAGAAGAAGGTTATCAACCGACGAGCAGCCGAGGCATATTAATCTAATTACATCACAAGGACCACTACCAATTTAACCAATCAGAAGAAGTAGGAGAAAAGGTAAATATGTAACATCCGTTACATAATTTATTCTTTTTTCTAGCTCTTTGAAGATCTAAGACCGCAATAGTGAGTATCTCAGTCTGGACACACTGTATATTAATCCATGTAGGTACATTACTTTCCTTTTTCAGCCTTAAAATCCTACGTAAATTTTCTTTCATCTACTGTACCGAAAGCGAGTGTCTAATGTAGTTCTAGCAAACATAGATAACATTGTATCATTTTTTCATGGTAATTTACTTTTACAATTAAATTTTCTAATTAAATTTTACGAAGGAAATTAATCAAAGATTAAGACTGACTATTAGTTTTTTAAGTAGACTATGATAATCTCAAAAACGGTCATGTTAATTGACTTCATTTAGAAGCAGATTGATAATGAACGTATACAAGGAGAGATAGAGATAGTATATTAATATTTACACTTGGAAGGTAACCGATAAAGTGCAAAGTGTCTGAAAGCTAACCAACCAAACTAGTCGAGGGAATAACGTGCAAATTTGTCTACGCAAGGTTATCGTCTGTCTGCCAGTTGGTCTTTGAAGAGAACGTATAAATACGACACTTTTCCCTTTATGAGTATATTTATTAGTAGCATCGGCGGACATGATCTATTCTATGGGGGAATTTTTTTAAATCGGATTATTCGACATTTGTTCACATACGAGGGTTCATTTTTAGATTCCCGGAGTAGGCATGAAAACAAAAGACTGGAGCAACAATAAACATTTTTTGCAATATATAACACCAACATTTTTAATCCATTATAAAAATATTCATTTGGTTTTTCTGTAAAATGGCCCACAACAGCTGCTATAAGTTCATCATTGTCCCAAAAGTTTGTCACCCGTAAGTGTCTTGAGATTCGGGAACAAAAAATGGCACTGGGTACCAGATCTAGACTATAAAAAATGTCTTCGAAGTAATATTGAGCTACAGCAGCTTTTGAAAGTCTGGACTGGTGCACATATTAGTCTTGTACTCAACCATAAATGTTGACGGCTAGACTTTGTTTACTATTTGAAATTGATCCTCTCAAAAGAAGACGGTGCGTTTCAAGATTTAATTTAGTAAGTGCGATAATACAACTTGTGGCTTTTGGTAAAATAATCCAATAAATATTGTAGATTACGGCTTCCAAGATTTAGTCCAAAATTATACCCGTTAAGCCTTTCAAATTGTATTAACGCCAATTATACCTGGTGAATATTTCAAAACCGAACATAGGGAATTAACATGTAACTTAGAGGGTTTATAGTGACACCAATCGAAAGATTTTTTCTCAACTAATCATGCACGAGTTAGTTCATTTTCAGGTGTATCCCAAAAATTCGGCAAGTGAAAAAACGTCTTATTTATAGTTAACAAATTTCTCCCTTTCTGTGAATAAAAAAAGGGTTCGCAGCACGTTAATGACAAAGATTCTCAGCAAGGATTAACCTTTCCAAAAACTGCACCCTATAACTTTTGATTTCGCTGGAGGATTTTTACGGTGGAAAGGTTCTAATCTGCAGCTTCAGGATTTATTTTCGCCGATCAATGCAAGGAGGCCGTTCCGACCTTATTATTATGTCACTTGCGGTAGGTACCAGATCATTCCGTTCATTTGGTATAGTAATAACCATTTATTTATTATTATTAAATCAGGGATTAAACAATCTGTGACTTCTTAGAGATATCAACTGCTACGCAAATTCGTTTTTATTGTTTATGAACCTATGAAAATTGGATTGTATATAAAATCAGTTTCCAATTTCATGAGTCCACCATGACCTCGATCATGACTATTTATAATGGGAGATTAGAAAAAAGGTTCGCACTTTTGAGTAAAGCTATGAAAATTGGCACGCCATCCTCTCTTTCGTTTGTTGTTTAGTTACGGGAAAAAATTGCATTTTTCGATTTTTAGATTTCCGTTCCTTCAATCTCAATACAATGCAAAATAATGTATTTCGGATCTGGAAAGCTGACTGGAAACCTGCCGCCAAGGTCTGAGATTCAACTAGCTCCGTATAAATCTCAGACTCTACTTTCACGATGATTTAACATATAGGCGTTGCGCCTCTACCTCGATTCCTTCACTCAACGCTATAACTATTATTTTTCTTATATAAAATGTTCTTTATATTATGTCCTCAGAAGGAGAAATCAAGCAATGTTAAGTCAGGAGAACGTGGTGGCTTACTGGTCCATTGGTACCTATAACTCTCGCCAGGAAAGATTGCCGGTCACAGTACACCTTGTGTCGTTTTACAATCTTTATTTTTATTAAGATGCGAGCGACTTCTGGAATAGGATCGTGTTAATGTTGAACAAAAAGTCTTTTCGGTCAACAAGATTGACACGATACTATCCCGGAAGTCGCTAGCACCTTACGAGAAACAGAGATTGTAGATCGGGATCAAGTGTTCCGTGACCGGCAATCTTTCTTGGCGAGAGTTATGTACAATTTTCTCGAAAATGAGCACTTAACATTTCCGTAACTATTCTCCAGTTATGAGGTGGTGCACCATCTTATTGAAATATTATACAGGGTGCCATGTGACAAAATTACATTAGGCGAAGTCAATAATAAATTTAATTTTTTCGATAAACTGACTAAAAAAATTAAGTAACAGTGGAAGAAGTCTTAGCATATGGATCAATTCAAAACTTGCCCTTCGCGATTTAATTTCTCTCAAAAAAAATTCGAAAAAAGTTAAGGGTATAGGTAAAATGTTATACAGGGTGTCCCTAAAAGGCCGGTTTCATCCCTGTATTTGAACATGAACAGTTCGATGAGGATTGGAATTGGCCACGAGTGCTGTGTTAAAAATTCAAGCACTACTAATATGGGCCTCATCTGCCCAAATAATGTTCCTACTGAAGAATGGATCTCATTGAATTTGTTTATGATAATGCTCGTCGGCAACAGTTGCTGTTGTTTCCGTACGGTGTAAGACCTGAATTTGTTTTTTCAATACAGTTAAAGCCCTACTCCTAGATATTCAAGATTCAGCTCTGATGTGGCGACTTGATATAGTGGCATTTGTTACTACGGTTTCAATGACACCAACAGCTACTTCCTCCGAATCTCGATTCATATAATTTGGGTCTCAAATGCTCCATGGTCAGAT